CTTTAACATCTCCGTATTCTCTGTTACATGATTGCAATAAACTGTATTTTGCACTGCACAATCGTGTGGTCCTTTCTGCCTGCCTATTAATGTCCTGCGACATGCCATGTTACATATACTATTGAATTCCACATCGAATGGTAGTTTCGTTTCTGCAAACAGATATTGTGGGTACCATCTAAAAAATTAAACTTGGTGGTGGTTACGCAGGAGTAGGCTATTGAAATGGTTTTTACTTCTTATCACTATCCTTCTTTGCTTTGTGTGAAATTGTATTCGTTAGGGTCGTTCCTTATTGATACCAATTAAATTTCTTTTTTAAGATGCTTCTTCAATCGTTGGAGACCTTTTTATTTCCTTTAAAATTTAATGTATAATTTAATATTTATACGATGCTTTAATCGACTTTATTGTATTAGCGGAAGTAACCATCTTATGAACACATAGAATTTGTTAGCTTATAATTTCATAATTTTCTGAGGTGCCTACTAATATTGTACTACTGATTAAAATAGGAATTTATGAATATTATGTAACTATAAGGATCTCGCAATCTTCTTGTAGTCAGTAATTAAAAAAATTCAAATTGTACCACCGACGTTACTAGTTCATTGCTGAGAAATGAGTTGCCATTCTTATTTAGTTTTCTTTCCAAAATAATTTCCTAATTTACGTAAAATGTAGGTGTCTCGCAATCCCAATGAAAAGTTATTTACATTATTAATTTCTTCTATTTATTTATTGTATTTATTTACCTGCGAAAGCAATTCAGTTGAATTTTGATCGCCGTATATTTATTTGTATGTTTCTGAGAATGTTCGTTTTCTTTTCGATTTCTTTACTTGCTTTAGTTCACCGTGTTGAAGCGTGTTGAGACCAAGTAGGTGAAAAGGATAATATTCCCAATTTTGCACAGGAAGGGTGCCATTAGTTGGGTGTCTGGCACACCCGTAGCGCATTTCTGATTATAGGAGACGTCACTAACACGCTTGCTTCGATCTTTCTAACTTACTAACTTTGCATGAAGAGAATTTGTCGACGAACGCCGGCGGTGTGGCGGAAGTTTAGGTCTGTTTCGTTCACATTGACATCAGGAGGAACAATTGCCAAGAACGAGAATAAATTAGAAAATTGATTTGTCGAAACATTTTACTGAAGGTAACGAATTGAAACAAGTCTTTGCCGTAAAATTAAGAGAAAATTATTTTAGCGTCTTCAGAAATTGTAAAGTCGTATAGAAAGTGATTTAAAATTAATTAATAAGATTCCACAAATTATATGTGGTAGATGATGTTAGTATCTATATTGAACTTTAATTTCTTTGCAGATAGATGTAATTAAAGGTAGAGGTATTTTTTTAAGTATTTACCCCACCATACAAGGTCCCACAATTTGTTGGCCAAGTCGTAGCGCAGGAAGCGAAAATGATAGAGAGATGAAACAAAACCAATTCCAATAGTCAGGCAATAACCTTTCAAAGTTCACAAATAACCGCTCTCGGGAGTGCCTGCCCTATGTAAGAACCCTTTTTTCAAATGGTACCCATAATATGTGTTTACAGAAACGAAACCACCTTAATCAAATTTGCTGGATCTAATGAGTCGCGTTTTTATAACAACGGCGTCGTCGATCATCATATTTGTCATTACTGGGCACTAAACAATCGTAAATGGATGCTGAAACTAATTTCCAAACGGTATGGGGAATAAACGTGTGGTGTGGAATATTCAATGGATGTCTCATTGGACCACATTTCTACAACGGCACGTTAACCAGTGAGATATACTTGGTCTTTCTGCGGAATACCCTGTCTGACTTCTTGAGAAAAATGCCTCAGACCAAACTAGACACTATGTGTTGGCAGCAGGACGGTGCTCCAGCACATACAGCGAAAAGGATAACAGCATACTTCCACGCGACCTTTCCAAATCGCTGGCTGGGTACAGCAGGTCCAGGCGCTCCAACCCGGACCTGGCACCCCCTGATTTATTTCTATCTGGTCACCTTAAGGATGTTGTTTACATAAGTCAACCTTACAATATAAAATCCGCGCTGCTCACCAAAACATTACACCAACTCAATTCTAATAAGCCCTTTTTTGTACTTTTTCCAAATTCATTTTGGTCACTTTGTTATGTTAACATCCCGTAAAAGACAACAAAAAAGGACAAAAAGCGTCAGTGTCTTTGATATTATGAGGTCTATTTTAACTGGTTTGAAATTTATTTTCAAAGTGTTCGTTTCATGCTTATGTCCTATTATTTAGTACTTTCGAAATTTAAGTGATTACCTAAAACTATCGAATGGACCACTCATTGACCCGTCGGTCATAGGTTGCCGACCCCTGTGTTGGGCTTCTGTTAAGGAGATTGCCCTGCTATAATTTAAAATCAGGACAACCTCTCCAATCGCTACCTAACTTTCGAAAACAATCTAAAAAAAAATGATCCGATGAAGTCAGTTTTTTAATTTAAAACTTAAAATAAATTAAGGATGTAAATTACTTTTATCACAAATTAATTCAACTTTTTGTTATCATAAAATGAAAACCGTAGGTTTTTTTAATGGAAAACCGTATTTTATTATTTATCTGTCATATGTATCTAATTGCATAATACTTATATTATTTATCTTAAAAAATAATACCTAATGTAAGTATGTCAAGTGCTTAATCTTTCTACCTTACAAATGTTTCATCTATTAATGATTATTCAATTTGTTAATCTTTTTTAACTGCTATATAAGTATTTCAAAAGAAAAAGTCTAATGTTTTTAACCCTAGCGTATAAACCTCGCTTGCTTTTATTTATTTGAGATTTCTATTATGATTATTCTCACTACATTTGATGCTTTTCTTTACATTCACGCGCCATCTCTTCGAGGTATGTAAAATGTACGTATCCTCGAAATGGTTGTGTGAACTTCCACATTTACAGGAAGGGTTGAAAGTTACAGGGCTTCTAGCCATGCGAAATCAATAAATGAAGAAACATGCTCCTAAAATGCGTTAAAGAATCTCCAAGAATTTAACGGTAAACAAATACAAAAGAAGTTCTGAATCCTAATATTTCCAAAGTCTATAAAAACATCATTCGGGGGTCACAATTGTTAAAAGCAATTTTACTAATCAATTGGGTATATGACCTACCAAGAGGCGTGCGACTATTTGAAACTTTGTTGTAATTTTATGTGAATTAAATAAACAAACGTTCGAATGATTTAATATTTTTCAAACAATTTCGGGTACATGTTAAAGCATTCGAAAGAAACTCGACTTAACAATCAGAATATTTCTTATTCATTTTCAATTAACTATTTTGGTTTCGATTAAATCTCTGGCTATGAAAGTCAAAAATTATACATTGTTGTGTGTATATCGTTGTTACTGTATAATAAAATTGTTAAATGATTAAAAATAAAAAGAACCATTTATCGTACATAACATAAGAAATAACGTTCTGCAACTAAATATTAAACTTTCACAATTTCAAAGTAGCCAAGTTTCAAAGCCAAAAGTAGCATTTAAAGTTGAACCTAAAAATAAATACACATTGGGAAAGAAAAGCAATATAATTGGGGAGCAACTAAGTGACTAAGAAGACTCCTTTTTGTAACGTTAGTAGGGCAACCTTTTTCTAACCTCAATATAACCTTTACAAGTTACTTAGCCGATACTCTAACCCTTGGTGCCAAAAAAAGGACTGTGGACCATATAAAAATTCTGTTACTGAAAATAAGTATTACTTCTGTTCTGTCTGCTCATTCGTTCAATGGCTAATGATAATATTAAATCTATTTTTACCGTTAAATTTATCAGCTGCTATTGTCCGTTCATTTAGAGAAAGGTACAGCGTGGGCGATACGTATAAACAAATATCAGTCGTACACGGGTACAGGGAATATGGCTGATCATTTACCGTCAGATATTTCCTTTGTCGCCGTAAATAATTTCTAACAGTTACGCCCATTAAGGCAGTCCGGGCACTTCGATCTGCCATTGTGTAACTTTCTCTAAGTGAACGGACTTACATGCCAGGATCTCACATCTATAGAATTGACCAAACCAAGCATCTCACATGTGATTAATTAATTTATTTATCCATATATGTCGAAAGCTCTGTATCCAAAATTGATATTCTAGATTAAAACAAGATACAGAATTTAAAATTATTATAGGGCTGTAATAAATGTACAACTTGAAATACCCATTAAATAACCCTTACGTAAATTGGAGGTTCTGCCACGTTTTCTTTTTACCGTCCGTATTACAGTAGAAAGGATTATGAATTAGACAAGAATATGATGATTTAACTGATTCAACTTTATCTGGTTTCAGGTTTATGCCCCACGCGTAAAAGGATAATTTCATTTTATTGCCAAAAGCATTAGGGTAACGGAACTAGAGCACATCAAGAGTCAGAATTGGAAGTAATACTAAATAAAACGTATGCAATTAAACTAACTATAACATCGTGTAGAGTGTGTATTTATTATACTAGCTTTTATTTGTAGCTTATTCGCTCGCATGGAGATGAAACACTAAAACTTGTACCTTCTCGCACTCACTCACTCTGTACATCTCATCCCAATAATAAGCAAACACGTTTTTCACTGATTTCTTTACAATGGCAGATTATCAATTGCCATACATTTAAATAAATAATAAGTATACGAGCTATAAGGGAAACCGACTATTATTGGCATTATCCGGACATCAGAAATACTGCTCAGCGTAAAACGAAGGATTATATAAAATATACAAAAATTGTAGGAACTTGCATTTTGTGATAACCTAGAAAATGACCATCAGAATAGCCTAACCTAACCTTAATAATGACGATGAGAATGGCCTCGAAGGCCTTTATAAGGTTAAGTTGTTTCTTTTTATTAATGGAAACCCCTACCATTTCCACATTTGCCCAGGAAAACGACTGCCAGATAAGTTCACACTAATAAAAATCTGTTTAAAATAAAGTGTTAAAATAAATCCATTTTCTTACCTCCAAGTTTAAACGGTAATCCTCCTGTAAGGGGATCTGGCGGGAAGGGCTTAGGTCCAAAGGGAAAATGATGAAAGCCCTGTATTCGCGTCTTCGATCGCGGCTCCCTTGGCCCATCAACGGTCACTTTTATTGCTTTATTGTACGTTGCAACTTGAGGGGGTGATGTCGACATGATTATCGTGAGGGTGAAGCTCTTTCCTGAAATCATCAATGAACCAACAAATAATCACAAATTAATGATTATAAAATATCACATTTTTAAATAAAGTTCATGAACTAAATTATAAATAAGGAATTGTAGACGCGATAAAAAAATTACATAATTTTTTTTTGAACTACTTAAAATTCCTATATTTAAAAATAAGTAGATATTAAATTTTCAAATGCTGTATCGTTTCGTTGATATTTTTCAACTTCTTCAGGCAATCTACAAAATAGTTACAATAATATAATATAACATATAAAACAAAAATAATGATAATCCTTACTATTAACCCCCTTGTAAATAATATATATTAGTCGATAAACCTCACATCAGACAAATGTTAATAAAAGAAGTCACAATAAACGGATAATGTCTAGTTCCCTCCCATATACCTGATTTTAATTAGGGTTAAAATTTTCGGTGTGTTGAATTCCCGCCTAATTATACATCAATTGCCTCCCAACGGCGGCGGATGACCTTGAGTGATAATTGCCACTATAGAGTCATAAAGAGTTGTTTAAATAATACAGCCTCACATCACATATTAATCTTAATATTATTCGTATATAATAGACACTACAATAACAATAATAATTTTATCAAACTACCTTTCTATTGGTCAAATACTACGAAGTGTTTCATCTAATTTTAAAAAATTGTTAACAAGACAAGCTAAAACTAATCAAGTTTTTCTAGATGATTGCATCAAAAAGCTAAACGCACACGAATTTCCAGACATTGAATTTGTTAAGGTAGTGGGAAACCATTTTAAAATTAAATAAATAAACATTTCATAATTGATATGTGTTTTCTTTCTGAAATTATTTTATCTTTAATTTACTGAAGTACTGAAGTGAACTATAAATATATAATGATTTTCGATAAATAAAATCGGAAGTAGTAAGTACTTAATTATCCGAGCTGATATGAACGGGAGGGAACTCGGCTAGTACCCGGGAGGGAATTCGACTATCTATATTTTAACCAAAACTACTGCGGGAGGGAATTCGGCATGACCGCAATAAACATTAGATAAAATCTTTACAAAGTTATCCTTCACATAACAAATAAACAATACCATAATGACACATTATCAACAAATTACGTATGTCAGAAGTAGTAATAACCAAGCCATAGAGTAAATTAGCTTTATTGTCATAGTAATGTTGACTAAAGTAATATTCTCCACATTTACCCTCACTTACCACGTGTCACCGTACAATGAGCTGAGTTCTTGTGTGTCAAACCTGATGTTCGCACAATATAAGGTTTTGTAAAATCATCTCATTAATATTTCTTTTGAGATGTTGCTTTCAAAGTCTATTATTTCAACCCTATCAAACTAGAAATTGGTCCGCTCTCAAAATGATGTCGCAGTCGAGGGGCCCCTTAGCAGTTTTCTGTTTTCAAAAAATGACTTCTAAAAAAACTATGCTGTTAGAATTTTTGTCACAATACTCCATATATTTGATCAGGTACGTAGTTGCATGGAACGCATACATCTCGAAATCGCGAATACTTCTACATTCACGGGGAATCATTTATTCGTGAAATTAAAACATTTTTTTTAATGACATTTTTCTGATCATCAATTTTAAGAAGGGCCCCTTGTGGAATACCACACCGGGGCCCCGAGCTCATCGCTACGGCCTTGATCCTAGCACTCCAATAATCCCAACAACCAAATTGTGTAAAAAGGTAATCCGAAAAGCTGTCTTCGATCATCCAAATTAGCAACCCAATCGTGCATTTTGGCGCTTTTTTGCTTCGAGGCAGTAGTTAAATAATTACTTGTCGAACTGTTAGATGTCATTCGCAATTTCTCCGCCAGAACAACGACCAATTACTTGCTGCTATTGGACAGTATTCAATAAATAACTGCAGATAACGTAATGAGCGCCATCTGTAAAGATTTTCTTGTATTTTAAATATGCCCTAGGTGATCCATATCGTTCTTGAAACGACTTATGAAAACATCAAGTACAAAAGGACATTAAAGAGCTGCTCCTTCACTCTGTTCGCAGAAGCAGTCCTTTATTTGAAAATAATTTTGCCACATGCACCGTTAGGGAATGTATCTACCTAGTCAGCGACAATATCAGCGCAAAAGCTATTATATTTATGCAAATCCTCCAAATATGTTAAGATGAGTGGCACCAACAGGTACAATTGGAGAAAGGGAATATTCATCTAATAAAACCAAAGCCTCACTACATATTAACTTAATATCTCTGAATTTACTGATGAATTCTAATTGAGTTCTTTATATTCTTGAAAACTAGACAGTTCATTTGTCAACCATTTGGCAATTTGTAACATCGACTTATACACATGGAAAATTTGTATCTAAAATGTACTTCATTTTAAATCAGGTTTTAAATCAAATTGTGATATCATTTCAAGTTTCGGAGAATTCAGCAACCACGTTCCATTTTTATAATAAGGTCCGTTACTAATCAAGTCATCAGCCCGTTCGCAATAGTCCTTTTTGTCAAATATTATGATTTTATTATCCCGTTTTGCCTTTACAAAAAAATAATCCCTCTATTGCAAGTTCTTGATTACTTTGAGTTTTATATGTTGACGTTTGACGTGTTTTGTAAAACTTCAGTTTTACAGCTTTTTCAAAAACTTAACTATCCCTTCTTGGAAATGGCTTAAAATTACGCAATTATGAAAAGCTAACATAAAAAGTCAGGGGAACGAGTTTTGAAAAATAATAATAATAAATAGATCCGATTATTTTATTCGATTATGGTAACGTGCCTATCACGTTGAAGTTAGCTACGCCAGGATTCGTTTCAGCAAGTAGGTATCCATATATTGTTTTGGAACATACGAAATCCTAAAATGTAGCATCGTACTACAGATGGCGTTTTCCGCGCCATTTGTGGTATTTTCTAGGAGTAGTAATGCTAAATTGCTCTGAAATTATATAGATTACTGACCTTGATTCATTGTTAGTATTCAACATTTTTGCATATTGTACATTTATTTTATTATTATTAAATTTATTAAAGTTATTAAATATCATAAAGTAAGTTATATAGATACACTAAAATTTCATCAATTTTTTTTAATAATAATTATAAGTACCTAATTAAAAATCCTCTTTTAAACTATTTCTTTTAAAATGAAACGGTGTGAGGCAACCACACACTTTAAAATTTCATCAATTTTTTTATTTAGGACCAAAAACTGCCCCGCCCCTTTAATTAAAATTGAGTGTCCCCATCTGAATGTAACAGTCTTAGGTACCATTGTATATTTCTTAAGAAGCCAAAGTATGGTAAAACAATTCCATATTAAGTGCAATACATTTGAAATTTACGTTAGAATCATTTTACTATTAGATACCTCCTCATGTTAGTTAATCTGTGTAAAAGATAATGGAAGATAACGTATTTATTAGTTTGAGATAAGAAGAATCAAAAGAAACCTGTTGAATACAATTACCTAATTTGGATGTATTTAAAGGAGAAATATTCTTCCTTCTAAAATTAAAAGAAAAAGTTAAGTTTGGCGCCCCTCATATTCTCAATCGGATCAGTCCCCTCCCCCTTTCATTTAATTCAAAGAAAACCAGAAACCCTTGCAACAGATTGAACAAATTTCGTTCTGATAAGCGATCGACGAACCTGCTCTTGACATTTTTGACTAATGCCTCACCGCTAGCGGCAAATTCGATTTTGAACATGAAGTTCCAAAACCTTTATTATTTCAACGCAAAATTGCACCAACCTAATGATACAGTCGAACTAATCAATCAATATCCCCTCCCCTTCATTACCACACTTTGAACAATTTCACACTATGCGTTACATTAATCGAACGGAAAATAGCAAGAGCGTATACGAGGTGTAATTAATAAGTTATTAGTTTAATGAACGCCCAAATGGGGAAAACCGATTTTTAAATTAAATAAATAATCGCTATCGAAACCATAAACAGTAAATGTTGAATCCCTAGAGACGCTGACCAAAATTACATAATACTTACTTTAAATACAAAGCATTGTGTAGCTTTTTTTAAACATGAGATGCATATTTTATTGCAACAAAGTGAAAAATTTATACAGCTCTCAAATATGACTTGAAAGGGGAGTAACGAGTATTTCTGCACATCGAAGCTCAGGTATGAATTACTGCTCAATAGTGAGTGCTCTTTAAGGACAAATTATGAATTTTGAAACATTGTATGGTTGGTTACAAGCGTCAAATTGTATTGTCTTATATAATGAAGAATTACAAGTAATGGAAATATCTCAGAAGTATACAGAGTCACAGAAAGAAACAAGTCAAGAAAATATGGGAAACTTAAATAAATAATTCAAAAGAAAAAGCGAGGACAAAAGAATTTGGACAAATTTTAGAAAGGAATGGTATTGTATTACACCAAGTAAAGGTATTTCATAGTTACAAACATCAAATTGTATTGTCTTACATAATGAATGATTACAATCATGGAAATCAAATATCTCAGAAGAACAAGATTACACAGAATAAGAAATAGATTCAGTTGAGGTGGTTCAGTCATGTGAGTAGAATGGACGGAAAGATATGGGAATGTTGAATACTTAAAAAGAAAAAGTGAGAACAAATGAAATTGGGAAAATCTTAGAGAGGAGTGGTGTGATGTTACACCAGGAAAAGGAAGTTTCAAAGTTGCAAGCGTCAAATTGTATTGTCTTACATATTGGAAAATTACAAGCAATGGAAACGAAATATCTCAGAAAAATACAAGGAGTCACAAGACTAGACAGAATAAGAAACAAGACTAGTTGAGGTCGTTCAATCATGTGAGTAGAATGGATAGAAAGAGACATGTCAAGAAGATATAGGAAACTTGAATAAATAATTAAAAAGAAAAAGAGAGGACAAAAAAAAATTGGAAAAAGAATTGGTATGATGTTACACCAAGCAAAGAAATTTTCAATAGTTATAAATATCAAATTGCACTGTCTTACATAATGAAGAATTACAATAATGGAAAC